ATATAATTACCAAGAAATCTTAAAATACCTAAGAAAATGGAGCAGTAATTACTAGTTTCTTGGAAGATTAATGAAATCTTATATTATTTGACAACTAAACGTGGTAATAAAATAATATAAGATGACATTACCTCAGTAATGAGGGATTACCCCCAACCAAACACACTCTTAGTGGAACTATATATGTGTCTTGAAAATTTTAAAAGCTTCGACCACGTGAAGATTCTAATTCTTATTTGATATGGTTAATTGTTTGAGAAATTACGTCCCATAGTCACTAGTCACACTCTTTGGATGTGTTTGGATCAGGATAATGTAAAATAACAGGGGTAATCTTCATTTATTTTGCAAGATCCTGTTGTTTGTTTTGCAAGTAATAAAATATTATAGATATCTTTTATTGCAAATAGTGTTTACTGTTGGTAATATAGGGGGTAATCAGATACCCTCCCCAAGGGCCGCTGTTAAAAGATTACTAGGTAATCTGATTTTATACTTGTTTTACCCTTAATTAAATACCATTTTGGACACAATTGCCCTCAAATGTCTACCAAGTAACAATTACTTAGCCCCCTACATTTGAGAAGTTAGCTAAAACACCACAGCCATAAAAAAATTTAAAAGTTAACAAAATACCCCCAGCCACCCAAAACTACTGTCGGCCACCGACCATCACTGCCAGCCGCCAATAGTAGTCGCAGTAATGGCACACAACTGATGAGATCTGGTTGGTCATGCATCGGTAAGGTCGTTTCCGATTAGATCTTGCCATTTCTATAGCCGTTTCATGGCCACATATCTGGCCGCAAAACAGATCCATGGCCGAAAATGGCTTTACCGACGCATGGCCAGCCATATACAGTCAGTCATGCGCCATTCCATTGACTGCTGACGCTGACTGGGGGTGGTGGCTGGTTGCCGGCAATGGCTTGGGGTGGGTGGGGGTATTTTGCTACAAATTAAAGTTTTATATGGCTGGGGTGTTTTAGCAAATTTTCAAATGTAGGGGATTAAAAAGCGTTTAAAAAAATAATAATATTATATTAATATTTTAAAAAGGGCAATTTAGTAATCTATATAACATATCCACCCATTTATCTTCCCAACCAAACATATTACTCACCAATTTATTTGAATTAACCAAACACATTTTTTAAATATTCTCAGCAATCTTCAAGATGATTTATCTTTCCATTATTATAACATCCCCCCTATAATAAAACATTATATATATATATATTAGCCCTTCTCAAATGTTAAATATAACACTTAATTGTGATTTATCATTTTCTGTGTGTTTTAAAACTTGTGTCTTTTCTTAGTTACTTTTTAGGTGCATTTGTTTCGAGGAATTCTTTATCATAGAAAAGATAAGATTACTACTAAGATAAATTACCTTGAAGATTAATGGAGGAATGTTATACTAATATGTTTGGTTAGATTAGTGAGTATAAATAATTAATATGTTTGGTTGCGAGGAATAAAATATTATCGAGGGATTTTTACTTAATTGCCCTTGCTTGTTAATATTATTATTATTATTTAGAACATTATTTTAACCCCCTACATTTGAGAATTTAGCTAAAACACCCCATTAACAAAAGTTTAAAATTTAACAAAATACACTCAACTACCCAAGATGACTGCCAGCTACCAGCCACCACCGCTGGCCGCCGTTGCCAACAACCGCCAGAATGGCGAACGAACGACCAAATTTGGTCGGCCGTTTTCGACTAGATTGAAGGCCGAAAACGACCAGATGGCCATGGATCTAGTCAAAAAGCCAGATCCATTATGGCCATTAATGACAAGATCTATGGCTGTTATAGCCATGGATATGGTAAAAAACGAAGGTCAAAAACGGCTAGATGACCATAGGTCTAGTCAGAAAGCCAGATCTATTATGGCCATCAACGACAAGATCTGTGGCTATTATAGCCATGGATATGGTCAGAAATGGCCATAATGGATCTGGTCGTTTTCACTAGGATCCACGACCATCTGACCATTTCCGGCCTTTGATCTGGCCGGAAACGACTCATAACCAGCTAGACTCGACCGATCATGCGTTGTTCCAACGATTGCCAGCAGGGGACGACGGTGGTGGCTGATGGCTGACAGTTGTCTTAGGTGGCTAGGGGTATTTTGGGTATTGTCCATGTAAACAGTGAGGATATTTTTGTCTAAAAAAATAATATATGAGGTTAAAGAAGTCATTTCTCACTTATTTAGTAGACATATGATGACATTTGTGTCAAAAATGTTTATTAATTAAGGGTAAAATTGGTATAAAAAGTTGATTACCCCAGTAATGGAAAAATAACACCCTTCCAGATGGTAATCGAATTACTGTCTTTTTTACCTACAATTATCACTATTGACATTAAAAGTTTATCGTAATCTTTCATTACTTGACACCCAAATGTAGTAATTTTAAAAAATAAGATAGATTACCGGTGTTATCTTTTATACCCCCGTAACAAACGCACCCATTTTTCAATTTCCCTACATATCCTTACACTTTGTAAGTAAACTTATTTTAAAAAAAATTTACGAAAAATATAATTATAATTTTAAAATAACTTCTATAATTAATATAAAATTAATACATCAATGGTTATTTATTGAATTCATATTGATTAAATGCATTAATTTAATTTCAGAATTATAAAAATATACAGTGCCAAAATTTAATTCCTTAAATTCGGAATACACTATGTATTAAGAAAAATGGTTATTCTCAAAGGTGCATATATTATATATAATCCCATCCAAATAGCATATTAGTTGCGTTTGTTTAATTATTTCACCAATATCTTATCCTTATTCCAAATACAAATGCACGTTTATTTCCTAATTTTCAAAATCATATCTTAAATTAAGAAACTTTTTAAACCTCTTAAGTTGGTTAGTGGACAGAAACACCCCCAACAATTTTTTTTATAAATTAACAAAAACACCCTTATCCACCTATAGTTGTCAGATTTTGGCAACCACCATCGGTAGTGGTCAAAATTTGTCACAACGGCACACTACCTATCAAAACTGGCCTGTAATGCGATGATCTGGCCTTTTCCGACCAGATCCACCCTGGATTTGGCCGTCAACGGCCAAATTTAGCTGTAGATCTAACATTTTCCAGTCAGATCCGGCCGATTGTGCATCGTAATGCCAGATTCCAATGGTGATGGCCTGAATTTGGCCATTGTGGGTGGGTGGCGGTGTTTTTGTCTTCTTTCAAAAAAATTATATATTAGGGTGTTTAGTTAAATTAACAAACCTAAGAGTTTTTTTTGTTAATTTTTAAATTCTATCTCGTAATAATCACCAAACTCTATTTATCAATAATATTTCAAAAATACTACTCAAAATAATAAAACAAACACAATATTTCAAGAATACTACTCAAAATAATAAAGCATTTATTTTGGTTGGATAGAAACGGAGAGCGTAAGAACATATAATTAAGATTTAAATGATAAAATTGTTGCATGTATACTTCAAAATTAGATGAAGAGATGATCCAAATCCGAAAAAAGTAATTATACCTCTCACCATTCATTTAAGTTGTATATATTCATATTCAATTACATCATGTCATATTAAAGTGTGTTTCTATAATCTCTAAACTAACTTTTTAAAGATTTATTTATTTTTAAATTAAAGATCGAGGATTTGATTCCATTGAACTACATCATGAATCAATCTCACATTACTTATTAGGATGTAAATATACAACGTTAGCCTAGTATTATAGGGTGCGTTTGGTTTATTATTTTGGATAAGATTTTGAAAATAATATTGGGTAGTTTAATAGGGGAGTATTACGAGGTAAAATTTATGAAAAAAACCCATAGGTTTGCTAATTTAATTAAACACCTTAACATATAAAATGACAAAAACATCCCCATCACTTGCAGTGCCAGATTCTGGCCACCACCGTTGGAATCTAGCCGAAAAATTACGTTTTGACACAGAGCGGTCGGATATGCATCATAACGCATTGATATGGCCTTTTCCGGCCAGATCTATGGCCAGATGTGGCCGTCGACTGTCAGAAAAGGCTAAAAAATCTGGCCAAAAAAGACCAGGTGAACTTTCGGCAAGTTCTGGTCGTGGTGTAGGAATCTGGCGAGTATGGGTTGATGGGGGTGCTTTTGTTAATTTTTAAACTTTTTTTGGGAGTATTTGTGAAATTAATAAACTTAAGGGGTCTAAAAATAATTAAAAAAATATAGCAACATTTCAGAAATAATATACCAAACAATATTTAAAGAATATGATTGAGAATATGGGTAGAAATAGAGAGCCAAACACACCCATAATAATTTCACCTATTACTAAAATATATATAATTATAAAATAACATCTTAATTCATGTACTCTTTCCGCTAGAGATGGGCACAATTCTCGGATTTCTATGGACCCACCAACCCCGTACGGGGTGAGGATTCCCTGGAAAAAGTGGGGACGGGAGAGATGTCTCCCTGCCTCGTAACCACCCCATTCCGCTTAACCCAAATCCGAATAGTACAAACGGATTAAAATATCATATTTTGATGCATTTAGGATATGGAATGAGGCGGGGACCTTTCCCCGCAATCCCAGGATTTTCAGGGTTTTTTCCCATTGTCTGGGGTGGGTATTAGGGTCACCCCTTCCTCGACGGGGCGGCGATGGGGAATGGAAAACCTGACCCGCGCATTACGCTAGAAAATCATCTCTGGATCCTAATTGAATGTGCAAAATATGGAAAGATTTTCAAGTCTTCTTAATCGTGTCCAACTGCCAACCCCATTTTTTTTTTATTATTATAATCTAAAAAACAAAAATATTAAAATGAATGAATGACTCTTTTGGTAGTTGTGTTCACACAGAGAGGCCTCCATAAAAAGGGCAAGCCTTCTATGAGTTTTGCACATCAAATTAAGAGACCACACTGCTCTCTCTCTCTTTGAAATTACTATTTGTGTTATTGAGATTAATATTAAGGTTTTTTTTTTTTGAAAAGATGGCGCAGGAAAGAGGCAGTGTAATTGTTGTTACAGTGGTGCTGAGTTTGATTCTGCTCCAGTATTGTGAGTTTTGTGAAGCTGCAACTCACGTTGTTGGGGGTCCTGGTGGTTGGACTTTCAACGTTAATAAGTGGCCTAAGGGTAAAACTTTTAAGGCTGGGGATATTCTGGGTGAGTTTTATTTCATTTAATTCTCCTAAATTCAATTATTTATTTATGATTAATTAGAACATGCCTGATACTCTATGTTTTTTTTTTTAATGATGTATTACCCTTTAAGGTTTCTAAATTTATCATTCATGACAACCTTGGTACTTTTTATTAAATGTATTCTCAAAATCTCATAAAAACCCCTTTGCCTTATAATTTGGATCTCAAATTTTGAAAACTTTGACACAGATGCCCCTTTACTGTAACTCTGTTATATTGTCATTAAATTTACAAAGCACTTTCTCAAAGTTACAATTTCACTCATCTACCACAAACAGAGTATCCATGATATAATTTTCAAACTTTGAGGTCTATTCAATGAAGAAGAGTGTAGAAGTTCTCATCAGAATGTTAAATTTAGAATCGTTACGGATAGTCAATAGTATTTTTTTTTTTTTTTTAAATGTATTAATAGTTGACATACACTACAAATTTATTTAACTTTGTTTTGTAAATATCTTTCTTTATATAATATACACCAAAAATACCATTTAGTTATTGATATTAATGTAATACTGTTAGAACAAAGTTAATTGTTTAGAATGGTTAAATAAAAAATATTAACAAAAATATCATGAAAATGAGATTACCGTACGACCCATGTATTCTAAAATTAAAATGAGTTTATTATAACTAATTACAAATAATATTAAATGTAAACAATATTTTTTTTAATATAACACTATTATTTTTAATTGTTTTAATATTCTTAATTGGCATGATTGCCCTGGAAAAATTTTCTCATCCTCATTTAAAAATGTATAACTAGCGGCAACTTGCTTTGACCCTATAAATATTGTTATCTATTAAAGTGGAACAATAACGCTCCTCTTTTAAATTTTAGTCAACTTTTTAACATTCTTAAAATATTTAATAACGTTATTAATGCGTCGAAATAGCTTGAAATCATGTGTATTGAACTTAAATATTAATGAAAAAACTAATTAAAACTAAAAGACCTTTTTTTTTTTTCACTAAAAGACCTTTTTTTTTTTTTCACTAAAAGACCTTTTTTTTTTCTTTTTTCTTTTTTTCTTTTTTTGACAAATTAAAATATGATTTTCTTAATTGATTTAGTAGATAAGAGTTTTCATCTACTTTTGTTCCATTTTTACCCCTCTACAATTTTCATGTATCAACTCTAACAATTCTACAATTGATTTTATTTTTTATTATTCTCCAAATTAGTGTTACAAATTAAATATTAAAATTTCTTTAAACAAACAAATAAATTATCTAATTATATTTTATTAAGAAAATTAAGAAATAAAATATATTGTTTTTAAAAAGGAATATTAAATGTATATAAGAATTATTTTAATTTTCTAAAAATAAAGAAGGAAAAAATTAATTTTTGTTTACTCTAGTGTTAGAATTGACTAGATTCTAGCAACTTGAGCACTAGAGTGGATTTCCCTGGCTGCTCGAGTGAAGAATGTAAAAGTGGAAAGAAATTGGATAAAAGGTCTCATATACTAAGTGAATTAAAAAGAGGTAAGATTTTAATTTTACTTTTAAAGGAGGGTGTTTTAAGTAATTATTTTAATATTAATATTTGTTAGGTACTTAATAGCTTAAATATCTTTCTAAGTTAATAGTAATAATCTTCCTTAAGTAGAATTAAATAATAAAAATCTCTTCATGGTTAAAATAAACAAGAAAGAGACAATTAGATATATATTTATTAACCTTCATAGTACAAATAATAACAACTATGATAGGAGAATTTATGTTATTTCTAAAATCACGAAAGGAATTTTATCATTCAATTAAACCTCAAGATTAATCTTAAAAAATTTGTGTTTGATTTGACAGTATTCAACTACAGTCCTTCCCTTCACGATGTGGTTGCTGTAAACAAAGGTGGTTACCGTAATTGCAAGACCTCAAGAGGTGCTAAAGCTTTCAAAACTGGGAAGGACCGAATTAAGTTAGCCAGGGGACCAAACTACTTCATCTGCAGTATCCAGGGACATTGCCAATCCGGAATGAAAATAGCCATCACTGCGAATTAAGTTATCCGTATGTATTTATTCATGTACTAAATAAACTGTTTATGTGTGATTTGCTAAGTATAATGAGTTATGGCTTTTAAATATGTAGTTTGCTATTTTGTTTTTAATAAATCAATAATAACATTCAAAACTTTTTTTTTTTTTTTTTTTTAATTCCATCTTTCTTATACTTATGAATCTGCTCTGACTTTTCAATAGTATATTGTAATGAAGTAATTACTTCAATATCAGAGGAGTTAGAACATCTCATATTTACAAATATTTATATGGGAGATATATTCAATACCTTAAACAAGATTGATTTTATTATTATTTGAATATTTATTTCTCACATGTTCCATAAAAGCTATTATACATATACAACTTAAGGGATTTTTTAAACCCCTCGAAGTTTTTCAAAATTTAAAAGACTCCCTATAGTATTGGTAATTACTCTAAACCCCAGTGTCTACTGTCTATGCCTTTTGGTTACTTTTAAGTTTTAACTATAGAAACTGTAAAGTGTAAATCACCTTAATTCCATCACCTGCCATGCCCATCAAGACAACCCACCCCCTTACTTTCACTTCAACTCTAGCAGGCCCCAACACCCATGTTAGGCTTAAAAAATTATTAAATTATGTAAAATATACAATTTTTTTATAAGAAAATACAAAAAGAAACTAATAAATAAAAAATCTGAAAAAAAAAATGTTTGAAAAATGAAAGAAAATAGAATAATGAAAAAAATTAAAAATAAAATGATCCAAAAGTAGAAAAACTTACTCTAAGGGCCCGTTTGGATGGGGTTAATATTAGATAACTGAGATAATATTTTTTAAATTAAGCCGATAACGATATTTGGTTAGTTTGTAAAAATTTATTCCCGAAATCTTTTATGACAAACAGTGGCATTTGGGGGGTAAGTTGTCGGGAATCTTAATACCTTGGGGGGGTCGTGGTGGGGGGTGGTGTGCTGTTATTAAAACTTACCCAATGTAATATACTTTTGTTTCCCATATTGCCCCTAAACAGTTGACCATTTAATCCAAATTAGCCATATATTTGTTAAGATTTACAAAACACCAAATTCACTGATGCATACCCTTTTGTCCTCACTTTTTAAATTTTTCGGACGACATTGCCCTTATTATTGTCATCATTTACAGAAATGTCATTGTACCCAAAACTAGCCACCATCACTAGCCACCGCGGACAACTGTCAGAGGCTGCCAAAAGTTGTCATAATGGTGTATGACCAGCTGTGTGCCGGTGAGGCCTTTTTCGACCATGGATCATAGATCTATGGTCGAAAACAACCAAATTTATGGCTGTTTCACAGCCACATCTTTGACCGTGAAACAACCATGGCCAGATCTATGACACTACCAGTGTCACGGCCAAATCTATGGCATTGTTGTTGGGCGCCGATGATGGTGGCTGGCTGCCAACAGTGGCTTGGGTTGGGTAGGAGTGTTTTTGTTAAGTTTAAAATACTTTTGGTTGCTAGGGTGTTTTTGCTAAATTTGAAATGTATGAAGTTAAAAGAAATTATTCAAAATGTAATAATAAAAAAAAATACAATTATATTAATATTTAAAAAGGAGGGCAATTTAGTAATTTATATAATATATTCTCTCAACCAAACATATTATTCACCAATTTATTTGAACCAATGAAATACATTTTCTAAACATTCTTACTAATTTTCAAGATGATTTTTTTATTCCGTTAATATAATATTCTCTTGTAATAAAACATTATATGATTCAAATGTCTCCTAAAAGTTAAAAAATTAATACAAATCTGGAAAAATAAAACAAATTCTTGAATCTTGATGCTCACTTTAGCCAAGGAAGCCCAAAAGGCCCAAATCGACCCGATTGAAGAAACAACTGAAAAAAAAAAAGAGTTTAAAAGCTGTTTGACACTTGAGCAAAGCCCATTGAGCTCGATTCAAAGGTTTGTTTCTCTTAAACCCTTTCCGGCGACCGGTGAACCCAAGACGCTTCAATTGGACATTATTTGATGGGTTGTGGTGTGGCAAGGAAGAAAGTCCAATAGGACTTATTGGAATTGAAAGATCTCTTTGAATTGGGCCCACTTAGGGGACCTTAGTTGAACATTTCACTTTTAGTAACCACAAAAACCCAAGAGAAGTCTTTCAGAGAATTACATCTTTCAAAAATCTGATTTCCTAGAATTTTTATATTTTTAAAATTCCTTAAAATCCTCTAAAGCTACGATTCAAAAATTCAAACTTTTATTCCAGATAAATCATCTTATAAAATTCTCTCTTTTTCGAAATTCGACAATTTTAGTTTACGATGTCGAATTTCTGTTTGTATTTTGAAATTCACTTTTAAAGGACGTCCATATTCTTTTATTTACATTGACATTCCTTCAATTTATATTATTTTCGTAGGGACGAATTTGTAATTATCCTATATTTTTGCTCTGAACCCAAAAGGTTCCCAATATTTTCTAAAACTGCATTATCATCCCCACATTTATTAAAACAGTTTTATTTAATATTTTAAAAGGGAAATACCTATTTTGAACCTATGTTAAATGTTTTCCAAAATGTTAAATAAGCTACATTAAAACTACATAGTTTTACGTAATTTCTAAATTATAACTTAATTCAAAATTCCATTTTTATAAATATTCTTATTTTACAAATTATTTTTAAATGTTAAATAATATTCTAAAATTATCGCTCAACAAAATTAACTTTATTTGACATATAAAATGCATTGACATATTAATTCACAACAAGTGCGTTGTTTAATAAGAAAAAGGAGCAGAGCAAAGATAATTTAGAGGGAAAGCGAATTGAGTGAAAGGAGAATTCAGTCACCCAAATGACTAAAACAATTTCACTGAAATGTATAAACACTGACTTGCTTTTTGACATATAAAATGCATTGACATATTTGATCCTTGCTTTTGCTGGTGTTTCATCTTTCTTTCATGAGTATTTAGCTGCATTTGTGATAACACCATATTTATACCTTATTTATGCATTACTTCTTACGATTTATGCTGCGTTTTCTCGTAAAATTGGGCGTTTGATGTGTGTAGTAAGTGTTTTGTAGGTAATAGACCCTAGAAATAGCTTTGGAGCTAATTGTGTGATGTTGACTGTTGGTAAGAAATTAATTCAAGAAACATTTTAACAAATTTCCAGCAGCAGTTGTCAAGAAGGAATGCCCAAAAAAATTCCAACTTCACGAGGCTGCTATTAATTCCTTTGGACGAACTAGGAGTTGTGCCAAACATGCTTAAAAAACTCTGAAAGTTCAGTTTACGGAGAATTTTACTGTTCGTTATTTTCAGTTTTCTAGAGGAAGATTTTCTAGTTTTAGTATCTGACAGTCAGTTGAGGAATTCTAGGCAAAGTTTTATGATTTTGCATCACCCGTCCCTAATTTTGTTAGGGATGCTATTGGACGGTTCTTGGACAGTTTGGGTGGCTAGGGGACACCTAAATCTTGTTTTGATTCAATTTTAAGTTGGACAACCGTAGTTTAGTTTGGATAACGAAAGAGAAGTCCTAAGGCATTAGGAGTTCTCTATTGGGCTGGATTTGTAGAGGAGAAAAAGCACTTTTTCTTAGACCCTAATTTTGGCACGCCTATGTAAAGTGGAGAACAATTCAGGGAAACGAGGAATTGGAAGCAAACCATTGTGTGAGAGGTATCCTAGGAGCAGGTACAAAAGGATCCTTTAAGGGTTTTCTCCATCTTTTCTTCAAACTTGTATTTTCAGATTTCCATGAATATGATGACTGATATTATGGGGATTACGAGTAACTGAATTCCTTACTAGGGATCCAATGTAACATAACATGAAGATTTTATGTCTTAGTTGGTTCTACTGTTTTATCAATTCAGTGTTTCCAGTTTCATTCTTTATGCTTAAGTCAATCTTTAATTTTGTGTTATTGATTGACCATCTTTAATATGAATTAATTGATTGCTTGAGACAAGGTAGTAGACATCACATGCTTAACCTTGAAATAGCTCTTTTGAATGAAAGAATTGTTGTCGATGCAAATGCCATGCTAAAATGATTTTTGGTTCTTAATTTATGTTCTTGTTCTTAATTGGTTACCTTTTTTTTTTTTTTTTTTTTTCCTTTTTTTTTAACTAGACGTCATGATTATGTTGATGGTTAAGAATACTTGGTTACAACCAAACACCTAACGGATAATCATAATAACAAAAGAACGAACCCTAGAAATTAAATTTAGACTTTTCATTAAGTTAACTAATGACATAGGACTGGAATGTTATAATGAAATCGGATGCCTAGTGTTTCCACTGTTAATAAAATCAATCTCAAAAGCTTTTATTAATTTCTTGCAGTTTAAATTACTTGTTTTTAAAATCGAACTTTTCTCAAAATATTTAGTTAATATTAGTAATTTCATTAGCCTATTTTTAATTTAGAGTAAATGACGTGTTCCCACCCAAGGTTTGGCGAATCTGAAGTTCCCACCCCTAGTTTCATAAATTCCAAATTTTCACCCTTAAATTAACAGAAAATGGTTTAATTTAATGGTTAAAGGGTAAATTGGTCATTTACACTATCATTAAATTTGAAATAAAAATTAAAATTTCAAAATAACCCTCCACATCTCAAATTTCTCTCACAAGCACCTTCCACATCTTAAGTTTGAAATATGACGATCACACCCTTACGACAGAAACGCGACTTGGTAGCTCGTAGACGGCAAACGAGCAGTTTGGGGGGGGGGGGGGGGGGGGGGGGGGGGGGGGGGGGGGGGGGGGGGGGGGGGGGGTGGTGTTGGGGTGATAGTGGAGGTATGGGTTTTGTTGAGCAGAGGATGGGGGTTCAAATAGTTCTGAAATGGGGTATTTTCGGTGTCAAAACTATCTAGAATCTGGTCGTAAACTTGAAGAATCATGCGAGATTGCAGGGGCTGTTGACCAACGATTTGTGGGTACATCAGGGTAGGAGTGTGAGGGGTTTTGGTGATTGTGGTGTGGGGGTTCTGATGGTGGTGATGGGGGAGCTTGGTGATGTTGGAATTCGCTAGAAATGGCCTAGGAGCAGCAGTGGGTGAGAGGAAAAGTCACCGAAATTACGTAATCTAGTCACCCTGGTGGGTGTCGGTCAA